TTACGATTAAGGAGCTAATTTTTCGTCAATGGATGAGTAGGTGAAATGTAAACTGTAGGCGTAGGGGTTGCAAATTAGCTGAGTAGGTTTGTAGGTAAGTCATAAATTAATTAACGGTGATGTATGCGATTGATGCTAGCCATCCTTCCTAACCTTGATATTTTCTCTCATGAATTATTGTGTGTGATTGCGGAGCTGACATGCATAATGTCAGCGTATTATTAAATTGTGCTCCGAATAAAAAGGAATCAGCAGCAGTTAATACTAAGCTTAAAAAACTGGGAGTTCTTCGACCATATAATATAGGTAGCCTGGTATTTTCTAAAGATACATGTATATTAAAGGCGATTTGTGAGACTGTCATTAGTATTAGAAAGAAAAATGAGGAGAGATTTAGTTTTTAGGTTATTGTAAGCTAAGTGTTCTTGCGGACTGAGTCTATTCTATATATTTGTTTGTGATGTCTGGTAGGGCTGATGTTGATCGGTTCAAATTAAGGGGTTAGGCTACTAGAGAGGGTTAGGCTACTAAGGGGCTAGGTTAGGTTCAAATTAGGGGTTGTGACCAGCGTCAAAACAGGCTAATTTTTGGAAATTTTTTAATATGTTTTTATGTATAATATAACTTAAGGAGAGTGTTATTCTTTTTCGCATCGGCTGATATTTTCCGCGCGCGATCAGTCGGTGTTCAAGATTACACAAATATGGTTGGTCTGAATCAAAAATAAAAAATATCCTCATTAACTACATGGTATTAGCTACGGCGTGACGGAGCTTCTTTTTTCGTCTTAAGTTACTAGAAAAAAATTCCTGAACTTTTTTCGCCATTTTCGGAGCTATAATGCGTGTTATTATTATTAATAAATATTGCAAAAAAACCTATTGACAAAATCGTCCGTCACGCCTACACTGGTATTTCTCTAAACATGTGTACCAAATTTCAAGTCGATTCATCAATCACAACCCGAGATATCGTGTATGTACACCGTTTTGAAAAACATAGTTTCGAGAAAAACGCATTTAAAGTTTGAGCACTAGGGTAAACGGCCCAGTTAGTGATACTTTAAGAGCGGCCGTGTCGGATTCTTGCTATTTATTCACGCATGATATAGCCAAACTGAAAACTAATGATTTCAACACGTGCGTTAAAGCCCTCCGAATGAGATTCACTTATTATACAAGTGAAACAATCAAGGTTTATTAATAAAATTATTGTTTTAATAGCGCTTTTCTGCTACCGAAATTTCTAACACTCGAGAAACACGCATGTCGTAGTTTGTGACCCCTGCGTGTACCCGATTTGTGACCCCCCTGGAGCAATTTCTAACGCCTGTGCGTAACCCACCTTCTGACACTTCCGAATATCCCCATACAAATGAGGGTCAACAACACAGCAACGCAATTTGAATTATGTGGTGCACTTATTGATCCCGCGAATTTTAAAAAATATCTAACCAAAAGTTAAATAATTTCTTATTTCATCAATAGCCTGGTTCCTGCTGAAGATGTTAACACCATTTTTATGTCGTTTTATACTTACCTGACGAACAAAATTCACGACGACGTAACTCGTGGCAACTACTGAGACACGTGTCGCACTGTTCACTGGTCAATTTCTATTCAAAAAATATTTCATTTAAAACAGTGTGTTTCTCCAATAATATAAAGTGAAAAACGCTTTTTAATTAGCCGGTAATTGAATTATTATTCCTTAAAAACTATATTAATGACAGTCAAAATTATGCCATCGGGATCACAATCTGCAACAGTATCGGTAACTCTGCCGTTTACCCTAGTTTTTTGAGCATTAGTCGTCTACCTGCGTGTCAAATTCTTCCTTCGCTACAAACGCTATAACTGAAAAAATACTTTGAATATCTACATGGAACTTTTGCATATTATTCTTAACACTTCAAAGTATTATTTACAGACAAAAAAATTTCGAAAATTTGAAAATTTCACAGTAGCATAACCCCTTAAGTGAAATACGGCGCGCATTTTAAACAAGAGCTACTATAAAGAATTACGTGGAATAGAACCAAGGATTGGGCGAGTTACCGAATATTCAACTGGTAATTGCCCTAACAAGGAACTATAGCCGATCATCTGGAAAAAAATAAGAAGAAGAAGACCTGTCTTTGAAGAACAGAGGATGTGCCGGTGTCAGTAAGATAGCCCTAGTGGCACTCTGCCTAACTATTGGCTATTGGCAAATTGATTAATCACGGCGAGGATGATAGATCGGAATCAAATGGTGTCAACTAAAGTTTCTGAGGCAGATCGCAGTGCTCTCCTCAGAACTTTGACAGTTTTTCTCTACGTAATGGCTCGGCAGAAGAGCAAGTGCCTATATGCCGGAGCCTTCAATCAAATTCTTAACAATTAACTTATGCAACTACTATGCTCTATATAGCAGAGGGCATAAATTAAGCGAAAATACTTCTTTACGACTTTATTTTATTAACCTGCGTTATCCTTACGGATTTAATCCGCACTTACTCTCGTTCTACTTTTTCTTTTACTGTTAGAATTAGAATCAGAATATTTTTATTTGATTTCAGATGTATTATTTAACTAATTCAAATGCTAGATTGATTAGTGAAAAGCGCTGATCATCTGAATTTATTTATATTATTTTCCGCGGATTGACTTTCGAGAGAAGTTTTTCATCTATTAGCTGTTGTTGATACTATTCGACCGTCCTTATTGTTTCTTCCTAATGAGTGCGCCCTCACTACAGGAGTACTGAGAGGTTGGTCAATTTGTACCGTTACAATATTTGTAGTATCGTAATCTAATTTAATTTTGCGTTTACAATTATTACAAAATTCTTTTTTTGCGTTAATTAAGTAGCTTATTCGCTTCAATAACGTTCGGTAGCAGTTTTCACAAAAACCACCCCTTGTATTCTGACGTCCGTCTGACGGCATTTTCCGCGAAGTTTAGTTTATTAATAAATTATGATATTAATTTGCATTTGAAAAATAATATTATTAAACTGCAATTTCTGATTCATAATCAGTTATCATCAGAAGAGTGGTTATACAGAAGTGAAGCCTGAAAGATTAAAAAATCTTGTGGATTTTGGTTTCAGAAAATCTTATGAATCTCATTGTTAAATCGCAGGATGCAACAATATTTCAGTTATTCTGTGTTCTTAGTGTAAGCGAAGATTTACAGTCAGAAACCAATATAACCTAATACAGAAAAACTAAACATTTCACATAATAGAAGTCATAAGTAAAGATAAATTTCCCTTAGGAATACAATATAAATCGGGGGACGAAATAATATAGGGTGCACTCGAAATTAAATTCAATTATGGTAATTGATTGACAGTTTTTAACGAGACTTGCCGGAATTCGTCGACGACGGCCGAGGTGTGCTTGAAGTCGCGAGCCCTCCAGGGGCTGATGAGACGCGGGTCCAGTAAACTGGAGGCCTCCCTTCTCTTTTTCCTGACGGCCAAATGGGGTCAGCGAGTCTAGAAACTCATCCAGAGTCATCCGACTCCCAGTCGGCGGTGAGATAGCGCGAACGTTCGAAGACACCCCCCCCCCCC